AGCCGATGAGATGAGACCCAACTCAAAGGAAGCAGAGCCRTGAGTGCCTAGGGTGAGCCTCCTCACAGGGCCTGCCTTTCCTTGTTGAAAGGGTTGAGAAGTGAATGTGGATTGTTCTAGAAAATGCCCCAGGCTGGGCAGGGAAAAAGGAACATTAAAATCATTCAGAAGGGGCTAGGGTTGTGGGCAGTAGTAGAGTGCTCGCCTAGCCCGCGCGAGGTGCTGGATTTGATCCTCAGCACCACATAAAAATGAAATAAAGATATTATGTCCACCTACAACTAAAAAATATTTTTAAAAATGAATAAATAAAATAAAGGTATTGTGTCCATAAGAGGAAAAAAAATCATTCAGAAAATTCTCGTCACCAGGTATGGTGGCGCACACCTGTAATCCCAGCAGCTCAGGAGACCCAGGCAGGAGGATCGTGAGTTCAAAGTCAGTCTCAGAAACTTAGTGAAACACTGTCTCAAAAGAAAAAAGAAAAAGGGCTGGGGATATGGCTCAGTGGTAAAGCACCCTAGGTAGGTTTCAATCCCTGATACAAAATAAAATTTTTTTTAAAAAAGTGTTAAGGTCAGAACATCATGTGCCCACTCCACCTCTGCGTGCCAAGCCAAAAAGGTCTTAGAAAAGGAAGGTCCTTGCAACCTGGGGCAAGTGCTGAGCCAGTCCCAGCTCCTTCAAGGGCTTCACTGCTTCCCTTCATGCTCAGGGCAGCTGTGAGGCCCGTCTTTCTGTGTGACAGGACTCTTAAACCAGGGCTTCTCCATCTCAGCACTATTGACAGTTGGGGCTGGATGCGTCCTGGTTGTGTGGTCTGTGTATTAGAGGGAGTTCAGCAGCAACCTTGACCTCGGACCCACTAAAAGCCAGTAGCATAACCCCACATACACCTCCAATGTGACAGAAAATATGTTGCTTAATGTCCCCTAGGGCAGAGGTGTCCCTGTTTAAGAATCATTGTCTTAGATGGCAGGTGCCCAAGGACTCTAGGAGGGGCCCAGCTGAAACCTTGACCATCTGTGCTTCTGCTCTTCTTGCTACCGCCCTTTTTTTTTAGGGGGAAGTCCCCTTTGAAATGTTGATGAGAATGATGACTGTCTTCCCAGAAGCAACTCCCGCCTTTAATTCCAGGGTGGACTCCAGGTGCTTATGCATGGTGTGAATGTCAAGAACATAAGCTCACAGGAAAACAGGCCATGAGAGAAGTGCAGTCATGTGAAGACTGCGGCTGGGAGTATAGGGAGAGGCATTCAAGGGCAGGTTGATGAGGGAGGAGACACCTGGGCTTTATGGCCATCTGACATGTGTCTGAGGCCGGTGGCTGGGCCAACATGATGAGCCTCATGCACATGGGCTGCCCTGACTCAGCCCTCTGGACATGACCTGTGGTTTTCCCAGAAAATGCTTCCTGTGGCTGAATGATCTCAACATCTACCCAGACATACCTGGTCCTGAAGACAGGGGTGTACACCCCAGGAGCTCAGAAGTGACCTTTTGTTCTGGGTTCTAGAATGTGAGGATGATAGGGAAGGGAACGTGAAGACACCAGGAACTTCCAAGCCCAGACTCTTGCAGCCTGCTGTAAAGACATTTGGAACCCAGCACTCATATTGTGGGCCTCAATTTCCTTATTTCTAAAATAGAGGAGTTGGACTGGATGATCTCTGATAATTCACAGGTGTTGAGAACATCCTATGTGATAGGGTCTTTATGTACATTTTAGCATTTAATTTAGATATTGCTTTATGAGATCATTACCCTCACATCCAGCTGACAAAACTGAGACTCAGGTTAGTTAAATAACTTGCTCAAAGTCACACAGCCAGTTAGTAGAGGGCAGGAAACACACCCAGGCCTGACCAAGCAGCAGCATTATTAAGAACATAAGGAGCTCAGGCAAGAGGCTGGCTGACTGGGCAATGGCAAGGAGCACGCAGGAGAAGGATGGCAGACTGGCCAGCCTAGTAAGGAGGGGCAGGGMAAGACAGCCTATGGGGAGAGGCTGAAGATGACAGGAAGGTTTGGAGCCTGGGGCACTGGGCGGGTGATGACCCTATTAATAGAAACTAGGAAGTCTAGAGGAGGAGCAAGTTTAGGGCCAGGAGATGATGAGTTCATTCTTAGACATGTTGACCCTGATTTGCTAACAGCGGGACATTTAGGCTGAGTTCTAGCCACAGTTCAATTCGGAAAAATCAAGACTTAAAACACCCTCTTGCCAAACTCAACTCCCCAGCTGTTCACACCAGGGTTCCCCAAGTTACTGGCCATGAGTTGTGGTTGCCTTGTTTGGTTTGCAGCAGCCCAGCCAAGCCCAAGTTCAAGTCCCGCCATGACCGCTAGGGGTCCCCACTGGTGCACAGACCTGATGGAGCTGCCCAGGGTGTGCCTGCCTTGGGGCCTGCCTAGAAGGGACACCGTGGGTTTTAGGGAGCCTGGCTCCTCTGTCACAGGGACACAGGTTTCTTCCTCTTGTAGAGGTGGGAGGGAGAGGGGCTCACGTGACCCAGAGCACAGTCTCCCCGTCCTGGCAACGCTTTTCTTGGGAGTCTAACATTAACCTTCACCATCAAGTTCTGTGGACCTTAGAACTAGGGAGAGCAAGCTGGGCCCCATTGCCTGCAGGCATCTTGGGGACTGCCAGCTCCCGGCAGCCTGGGGGACACCATGTCCAAGGCACTGGGGCTCAGGACCTCAGGCAGTGAAGCTGAGAGCAGGATCTCAACTGTTCAGACTGCTTGTCTCCCCTGACATTTGCGTCAGCAGCCCTGCCCTTTGACTTTTAATTCCCCCAGAGAGGAGGGTGGAGGTGATCAGGACTAATTATCTGCAATTCAATTCGACCAGCAAGTTATTGGGGTTTAGCCTGGCTTCCTGCCCTCCCACACCCCCAGCTTTATGGCCTTGGTCTCCTTCAGAAGCTGGAGAACAGAGAGCAGGAGGGTCCTCTTGGTGTCCTGGTATCAGAGTGCCCTGTGGGAAGTTACGCTTATTAAAAGTGTTTGGAGTTTCCAGATAAATGTGTCTCCATTCCCATGCCCAGCCCAGGCCCTGGGCCTTCAAGGCAGCTTCCCACTATGCTGGGGCTTGTTGGGACATGTCCCAACATGGGCCAGACCAGGCGAGGGCTTCCAGCCTCCTGGCTGCCCTCCTGGGTTAGTGGGTGTAGGGCTTTGGAAGAGAAGAGATAGGACAGGCACCGGGGAGTCTGGGGAGCCCCCCAGGGCTGGGGCCCCTGCCAGTGTCTGGTGTCCCTCTATATTTGGCTGCAACATTACTGACATGCCCTCTCAGAGAGGCAGCCAGCCCAAGCCCTGATGTCTGCTTCTAGGGCCTGGACTTTTTGGGACTATCCTTGTGGGGTCTGGGGGAGGCAGAGGTGGGGTTTAAGGGAACATTTCCTCYTGGCTCCAGGGCAGAGAGGAGCTGAGGGTGTGTGGCATAGAGAATTAGCCCTGAAACCTTTCTCAGAATTCCTTGTACAGTTACTCGATTGTTCCTTCTGCTCAGGTTTCCTGGGGAGGCCTAGTCTGGGGCCACAGGGACTGCCTGGGCATGAACCCCAATCCCTTCTCCCTCAATTTAAACCAATTCCCTCCATACCAGATTTTTWAAAATTTTTTAATATTTATTTTTAGTTTTAGGTGGACACAATATCTTTATTTTATTTTTACGTGGTGCTGAGAATGGAACCCAGTGCCTCACGCATGCTACCACTTGAGCCACATCCCAAACCCTATACCAGATTTTACTTGGAAGCACTCTAGGGGTAGCTCACTTCGCCATCTTTTGGATTTCTCAGATCACTTAACATTTCCAAAAAAACAATTTAGGATCTGACATGGTCACCAGTTTTTTTTATTTTGCTGAGTTAAGGACATTAAAAGGAAATGTCAAAGGAAGGGTGCTTTTAAATACATGCACACGCTATTGAAAACGCATGGCTCAGATGAAAGGTCGAGTAGATTCAGCTTTCTGAAACCTCACTATATTGTCCTTATTATTCTCATTTTGCCGCGGGCAGATGAGAACATGGCAACAGCTGCCACTGGGCACCCCGTTGCTGGACTCCTGTTCTAGGAACGTCTGGTCCCTTCCACTGCTTAGCCTGGGCCTGTTGCCAGGGCAGCCAGCTGTGCTGGGGGACCCTCCCCGGCACTCTCCCCAGCCATCTCATGCACTTTGGCCTCTTCATTGCTCCTCCTCTCCTCTCTCTCCAGTATTTGCAGAAGGAGGTGAGGAGCCTTCTTCATAGCACTCCCAGACTGAAGAGAGCAGATTGTCCCTGCGAACTCCTGGCCCCCTGCTGCAGCCCAGTGTCTGCCCAGGAGAAGTCACAGGGTCGCCATGCTCCCTGAGGATCGCTGCTGTGGGAAGTGCCAGGTCAGGGAGGCCAGAGCCTATGTCTGCCACTTTCTGCCCTGTGATCTGAGACTAGTCCCAGAACCTCCCTCCCTGAGCTTCTGTTTCTTGTTCTATAAAATGGGTATATTAGCTCCTCATCACAGGGCCAGTGTGAGGGTTAGATGAGAGAATGTCTGTGAAAGTACTTTGTGAACCATAAAGCTTAGGTAGGGGTAGCTATTATTATTATGGGAAACTAATAAACAGCTGAAGAAAGAGCAGTCCCACAGCTGATCTCAGCATCTGGGTACAAAGACAGGGTCACACCCACCCTGGGGTTGCAAACTGGGAGCCCCTTCCAACGCCACAGAGGAGCACCAACCTGATCCAGGGAGTCTAAGAGGCCCGGGCTGGTAGAGGCCTTCTGCATGACTAGGACCCTGCCTCTGGCAGGTACAAGAGAAAGGGTCCCATGTTGGATGTAAAGGCTTCTGTTAGGTGGCTGCCCTCTGGTTATTGGTGCTGACTGCCTCCCAGATTGTAGAGAAGTATGTGGAGGGCTTCCCAGGGAGGAGCCTCTCTGGGGTAAGTGGAAAGCATCAGGCCTGAGGATTCACGAAAGGCGCATTCCTGGACACCAGGGCACTCACCTGTCCTCGCCATGTTACCATGGGGCAGAGTAGGGGCACACCAACACCTGTTCCCAGTTCAGCTGGATCCCTTACTCTGAGGAGCCTCAGTTTCCTCAACTATAAAATAGGAACAGGAGGTAAAGTTTGCTGTGAGTTTATCTGAGATCACAGGTGAAAGCCCTTGCAAGATGCTGGGTCAAAACAAGGTGCTCTGCCTACCCTCCAGGGAGTCCTCACAAAAGGAACCAACAGTCCTGAGAAAGCCCGCACCTGTGACCACTCTGTCTCCCCCACCTGGAGTGGAGCCCTGGCCTCTGCCCTGACCAGCGGCCAATAGGGCAGATCTCTCGGCCCAGCCAGGCTGTGGCTGCCCCTCCTCCCCTGGCTGCAGCCAGTTGTCATGAGGTCATTGCCACCTTGCCCAGCTGGCATCCCCCTGCCCCCTCCCACCCCCATGCTGACATCCCATTTGGCAAAAAGGTCGGAAAAGCCGCTGACACTTCCAGACCCTGAGTTCATTGACTGGTCAGGGCCTGCAGGCCACAAGCTGACCATGTGGGCAGAGGGTTTGCAGAGTGAGGGAGAGGCCCTTCCAGGCCTTCTGCCTGCCTCAACCCCAGCCCACCCCACAGGATACTCCCACAACTTCCACAACACCCCTACATTACCTACCGGGACCTACACACCCCCTCCACACGCTCCCCACAGTCTCTGCTCCCCCACATAGAGGCCCCCACACAGGCAGCCAGGGCTGAAATGGCTCCTCCGTGAAGCTCCTCATTGCTCATTTGTGGAAACCAAGGCCTCCTGAGAGGGCAAGGGTTAGTCAAGCCACACCATCAGTTTTTCCAAGTGCTTCAAAGTGCCAGAGGGAGTGACAGCATGGAGACTCCCGCCTCCTCACTGTCCCCCATCCCACTGCAAGGAGCCCCTCAGCTGGCCCCACCCCAGGCCTCCTACAGGGTGATTTCCCAGGGTGAGGCTGGGCTCACCCTCTGTCCTGGGTGCAAGGTCATCTGAAGCTGACAGGGGAGGCCCCACAGCAGAGCCAAAGCCTTCACAGCTTGATGGTGACAACAGGCTTCTTCAGTGACTACTCAGCCCACGGCCTACTCCCCCAGTCACTCCACCAGGCCCTGCCTGCCTCAGGCTCCCTCCCTGGATCTCACACATCAAGACCCTTGGCAACTGCCTGGCATGTGGCTCCAGGGCTGGAGTCTTCCTTAGACCATCAACTCCCCGAGGCTGGTGAGGAGCAGGGCTGTCACCCAACAGCATGTTCAATGAGTGAAGAGGCCAATCTCCCCACCCCAGCCTCCCTGTACAAGCCTCCTCCAGACTGGAACTGAGCTCTGAGATCTAGTGGGAAAGGCCCTCAACCAGGAGCTGGGAGTCTGCTGCAGATGGTTGTGTGACCCTGTTCCAGTCACTTCCCCCTCTGGGCACCAGCTGCACCTAGGAATGGGGGGGTGCTGTTTGGGAGAATGCAGAGTGCTGTGGTTCCAGCACCACCCCTGTGCAAGTGCTCTGGCCACCAMGGCGGCCTCTTTCTCACTGGCTTGGGAGAGGGCACCCTCTTGGGCAGACCCAGGCTAGGGAGTCCTATATTATAAATATAACTGCCACCCAGAATAGCCCAGAACATTTGCAACCTGGGAAGCAAGGGAACAGAGTACTTCTTGCACCTTCCCCCCAACCACACCCCACCTCCCCCACTCACACGTGGCTGGGTCCACCCGCCCAAGGAGCCACTGGGCACAGACTCCGGTCAACATCCTGCTTCCTGCAGGGCCCTCCCGGGAGGCCCGGCCAGGGAGGGCACACAGAGGGGTGTTTGTTCGCAGTGGGCGGCGGGGAGAGATGCTAATCGCTGCGGATCGCTGGGCCCGCTGAAGGTCAGGAGGTAACGCGACCCGCGGTTATAAATAACCGCGCCTGGCGGCTGCTGAGAGCCACTCGCTGGATCTGCGCCCCTCGCCGGCCCGCGGGCACGGATTGATTACTGCCCTCCCCAGCCGGCCTGCGGGAACCTGAACCCCGAGACAGCCGCAGCGCAGTGACCTTTGGGGGTGGCGCGCAAGGTCAGACCAGGCCCCTGGGCTTTCCTGTCCTCTGCTGGGGGGAGTAGGTGGGGAGGAGTCACTGAAGTCCCACCTTCGCCACCCCTGCCCACCCCGCCCCCCCACGCCCTCCTCGCGCCACCATAAGGTGAAAGGAGGCTGCAGGACCCAGGGACCCAGGCTGCCCTCTCGCTCCACTCCCGCGTCCCTCAATCCCTATCCTGCTCATGAGGCTGATGGCAGGCAGGCCCGAGGGACCCAGCCAGGGAGGGCCAGCCCACAGCCACACCGGGCCCTGCTTCTAGAGCCCCCCGCCCCCCGCATTCTCTGCTGAATGGAAACAGATCCCCTAGACCGGGGCTTCAGGGGTCTTAGAGGCTTGAGGAGGGGAATGATGCTGGGGGCACCTGGGGAAGCTGGCACCTCTCCCACCTCCCTTTGGAGAGAGTGTGCCATTTATTTTTGAAACTCTATTTCTCCCCCCCCCCCCCGGAGTTAAGCACACACACTGAACAGTATACAAAAGTGTTCAGCTGGGTCACTTTGCACTAGCCCTCCAGGTCCCAGAAGGCCCACAAGGCCCCTCCCACTGAGCACCCCCAAAGATAAGGCCTCTGCCGACTCCCAACCTTCCCGGTTCTGGCCTGCTCCTGAGCTGCGCATCCAGGGCGCACACAGTACGTGCCCTTTGGTGTCTGGTTTCTCTTGCTCAGGGTTGTGTTGCTGAGGTTCCGCTCCTCCCTCGGGAGTCAGGGGCCGCTCATCCTGCTGGGAGCTTGCCCTTGTGTGACTCTCTCACCATTTATTCACCCATTTTGCTGTTGATGGACACTGGGGCAGGTGCCGGCTCCTGGCTGTCCTGAAGAGCGCCTCTGTGCACACTGCATCCTGGGGGCTTGTGGAGGACAGGGACCGTGGAGCCCAGGTGTGTGTGTCTGCTCAGCTTTGAAGATCCAGGAAGTGTTACTTTTTCATTGAACATTTCAGCAAAAGTGAATTTTCAAGGTTAATTTTTTTTTCATTCTTAAAAAAATGACAAGAACACCACTGTTTTTTTAAAAATGGGAAAAGATGGAATTGTAAAAAAGAAAGAAAAGAGACATGGTGGTGCACACACTGCAATTCTAGCCTGAACTGAGGCTGGAGGGGATCTCAAGTTGGGGGCCAGCCCTGGCAACAATAGTGAGACCCTGCCTCAAAGTTAAAAATAAAAAACACTGGCTATGTGGCTCAGTGGTAGAGCACCCCTGGGTTTAATCCCCAGAGCTGCAAAAATTAAAAAAAATAATAATAAAATAAAGAGCACCCATTACTACTATTTCGAGTCAACCATTCCACCAGCCAATGGATGTTTTCTCAGAGGCTCAGGATGTTTTCTCAGAGGCTCAGGGTTTCTCAAACCTTGGGCAAGAGACCCAGTTCCTCCTTCAGGCCGCCTGGGGCCTAGGCCAGGTCAGCAGTGGCATCACCCAGGGAGAGACCAGGGCCTCTGCACCTTCTGTGGCCTCCATCAGCCGCCCCTCACCCACCAGGGCTGCCCCCATCTGCATCCAAGCTGAGGCCAGAGAGCCAAACCTTCCAGAGAGCTTGCCAGCCAGGCCTTGTCCAGCCAGGCTGTGCCCAAGAACTCAGAGCAGGAGGACTTGAAGCCACAGCACAGTCAACTGCGGTCAAGCCAGAAGAGGGCTGGAGCAGAGGAGCAGGCTGGGCTGTGGGCCCCCAGGCAGGCAGCAGTCAGGGGCTGGTCCCCAGGGCAGCTCTCAGGAGGAGGGGAGCCTGGTTGTGAGGCCCTAGTGGGCTGGACTTTGGACTTCATCCTGAGGCCACTGGAGGGGGTTAAACCTAGGAGTGAGCTGACCAGTCCGCTTCTAGCAAGATCATTCTGGATCCCTGTGGAATTTGGCCCATAGTGACAAGAGCAGGGCCAGAGACCTTCAGAGGCCCACGCCTGATAAGTTAGGGCAGTTGTGAAAGTCAGGGTCAGCATGACAGTGGCGGAGGGGAGTCTATTTCAAATAGGGTGGTCAGGAAAGGCCAGTCTGAGGAGGGCACTTCTGAGCTGAGGCCTAGAGGAAGTGAAGGAATAAAGCTCTTGGGGCAGGGGAGGAGGGGAACTATCCAAGTAAAGGGCACAGCAAGTGCAAAGACCCTGAGGCAGATGCACATGTGTCTGAGAAGCAGCAGAGAAGCCAGTGTGTGAGGACTGCAGTGGGGACTGGAGAACAGAGGGAAGACCTAGCAGGGCCATTGTGAGGGTTTAAGAAGGCAAGGCCTGATCTTGTTTTTGTTATGGAAGGATCACTCTGTCTGCTCTGAGAACAGACTTGGGTGGAGTGGGGGGTGGGGGGCTCAAGTCAGGGGAAAAGTAGAGGCCTGACCGTCAGTGTGGTAGGAGGTGGTCTCACTTTATGCAGATTGTGAAGGTGGCATCCAGAGCATTTGTGGATGGACTAGAAGTGGCCTGTGAGAGGAAGCAGAGTCCTCTTCTCTCCCCTGATCTCCGGGTGTCTCCCCTCTGCCTGTGTCCTCCCTCTTCTTGTCTCCCATTCCCTGTCCTCCCCTCCCTCACCCCTCTGCCCCGCCTCCCCTGCCCCATCTCTTGTGTTTCAGGAGTCCAGTGACTTCATGCTGTCACCTCCCGCAGGCCAGAGATGCTGCCCTTGAGGACAGGCAGCAGCCCTGGATGACCGTGGCCAGGGCCCAGAGGCTGGGAGCTAAGGAGAAGGTAGATGTGGCTCCCAGGACCCACCCTGGAGCGCGCCTCCCCTGGTGGGAAAGCCCAGTCTCCACCTGGGGCATGTCCATCCCTGGCCCCAGAGGCTCATGGGAAATCCTGGCACTGCAGAAAGCAAAGCCCAGGGTTCTCCAATGCCCTCATGTAGCCCCTGCTCCACTTGGCGGGCTTTGGGGCCAGGGGCTCTCCAGGCCTCCTCCCTGCCCTGGTGGAGAAAAAAATACACTAGCTGAGGACTGGCTTTGTAGCTCAGCTGGTGGATCATATGCCTGGCATGTGTGAGGCACTGGGTCCGATCCTCAGCACCACATAAAAATGAATAAATTAACCAAAAGTATTGTGTCTGTCTACAACTAAAAAAAAAAAAAAAAAACTGAAGAAAGAAAGAAATACACCAGACGAACCTGAAGCATCCTGGAATGCCAGAAAGTCAGGAAGGGCTTTTTAAAAAGAACCACATGGAGGGGATGGGGGTGCTCGCTCTTGTAATCCCAGCAGCTCCAGAGGCTGAGGCAGGAGGATCAGGAGTTCAAAGCCAGCCTCAGCAATGGCGAGGCACTAAGCAACTTGATGAGACCCTGTCTCTAAATAAAATAGGGCTGGGGATGTGGCTCAGTGGTCAAGTGCCCCTCTGTACCCCCCCCAAAAAAAAGAGAGAGAGAAAAAAAAGAACCACATCAGGCTGGAGTTATGGCTCAGTGATAGAGCACTCGCCTGGCATGTGTGAAGCCCTGGGTTTGATCCTCAGCACCAATATAAATAAATAAATAAATAAATAAATAAATAAATAAATAAATAAAAATTAAAAAGAAAAAGATCCACTGGCAACTAAATATATACGTATATATTAAAACACACACACATACACACACACATCAACAAGGATACATGAGGTGAGCATAGGAGTCACCCGGCCACAAGCTGGAACAATTCAGTAACAACATAAATATTGGATGGTAACCCAAATGTAAAGCAGATATTCAGGAGTCTATTATAAACAAGTGATTGAATAAACCAATGGGGGAGAAGAGACAAAGCTTCCAGGTAGAAGAATTTCTAAGGAGTTTTGCAGATACTTCACCCTAAGTGGGGGATGGAAAAGGGGCACAGGACTCCCAGCCCTGACACAGCGCAGACGCACTCAGTGACTTCCCTCCAGAAAGTGCAGGGTGGAGGGGAAAGTGACCCTGTGTGGAGACAAGTGGCAGAAGCTTCCCTCAGCCAGGTGTTCAAGGTCAACGTCACTCCGGTTGGCAGTGTAGACCCTTGGTAAGGTGGAAATGGTGACCTGACTCCCCAAACCCAGAGCCCCAGCAAAATCCCGAGAAAGCATGAGGTGAATTGCGACACACATAATCTAACCAGCACCCCTCAAGACTGTCAGGGTCATCAAAAGGAAAGTCAGAGAACCGTCACAGCCAAAGGGAGCCACCAGAGAAAACGATGAAATGGAACGTGACATCCTAGAAGGCATCCTRGAACAGAAAAGGGACTTAGCTGGATCCAGAGAGTCTAAAAGAACTAGATGTCCATTAATAACAATGGGTCCATGTTGGTTGGGTCACCACAACAAATGTACACCCCTGAGGTCAGAAGTCAATAATAGGAAAACTGGATGCAGGAGGAGGGGTTTGGGGGAAGTCAAGGTACAGTGTTCTTAACTGTCCTGCAAAACTAAAACTGCCCTAAAAATACATTTTATTTTTTAAAAAAATTAGTGGTATGCAGTGGTGCATACCAGTAATCCCAGCAACCTGGAGGCTGGGGTAGGAGGATTACAAATTTGAGGACATGGGCTGGGGATGTGGCTCAAGCGGTAGCGCGCTCGCCTGGCATGCGTGCTGCCCGGGTTCGATCCTCAGCACCACATACCAACAAAGATGTTGTGTCCGCCGAAAACTAAAAAAAAAATTTAAAAAAAAAACAAATTTGAGGACAGCCTTGGCAAGTTAGTGAGAACCCTGTCTCACGATAAAAATAAAAAATTAAAAAAGGCTGGCCATGTAGCTCAGTGGCCGAGCACCCCTGGGTTCCATGGTGAGCACCAAAACATAAATAAATGACATCTCCCTCAACCAATAATATCCCCCATGCTCTGCTTTTTCTCATTGTATTACCACTTAACATACTATATATTGAATTTGTGTTTTTTATTACATGTTAACTCTCTGGAATATAAGCTCCTGGGACCAAGGAAGCAGCTCCATGGCAGAGGTTGGCTAGAACTCAAACTTCCCGAAAGGTTTTTGTTTCTTGGACTGCTATATCTCCAGCACTTAGAATACTCTGACGAATAGGTAGCAGGTGCTCCAAAAATATATTTGTTGAATGATAAATTTCCAAAGATAGTCATTGTTAGTTTTTCCAGTTTCGCCTCTGCTTAAATACATTGATTATTGTTTTAAAACAAACACACATACGGTGTTCTGCTTATCTGTTCTCTTCGCCTAATACCTCCTAATTATTTTTCCTTGTTATTCTTTTACAACATCATTTTCTAGACCATGCTGGTGTTTGCAGGCCCAGCAACTGGTTGTGATTCCAGAGGCAAAGACGGTGGGGGCCCCTCTGCCACACGGCCGCATGGGCAGGAGGGATGGAGTGACACCAGGGCCAGGCCGAGGCTACTCCTGCCCTCTGACATCAGATCCGTGGGCACTAGATCCTGCCTGGTGGTGAACCGGCTGCGTCAGAACCCAGGGATTAAATAGATTTCGAAATCCACCAGCTTGTCCTCGACCAGCCAGAGGGCCAGCACACATGCCCAGACCTTCTGTCAGCCCAGGCATAGGGGAAAACACGGGGTGTGCAAGCATCTGGGGCAGCAAGGGAGAGACCTCCCACACAGTTGGCCACAGCCCATGGGGTCCTAGCCCGAGAGGCTCTGGAGAGCTGAGCCCCTGAGAGGGGGTAACAGACCCTCTCTCCAAAGTTGGGGCTGATTAATCTGTCTTGGTTGTGTTGTTTGTTTTGCAGAGCTGGGGGTGGACCCCGGGGTCCTGGGCAGGCCCCCAAGCACTCTACCACTGGGCTCCACCCCCCACCCCCGCCCTGCAGCTGTTTTGCTGGTGGGAAGTGGGTGGCCTGGGCAGGCCTCGGGGACCTGATATGTTGGAGGAGGGAATGCTGAGGGGTTCGTGGGGTAGGGGGAGTCCTTGGCACTTGGAGGCCATCTGCTTTCAAATCCAACTGCTTGTCCTCCTTCCTGGTAGCAACACAGAGCCACCTAGACTCTGCTAGACATAGGAGTGCTAAAGATAAAAATACTCGAAGGACATATGCCTTCTGTGAACCAATCCATGCCTTAGGAGTCCTTCAGCTCTCCTCTGCATGCCACTCCACCATTGCACGCCCACCCCAGGCCCCTGGGCGGGGAGACTGTTATGGCCTTGGACACGCTGTGCGTGTGAGGACAGCGCGTGCTCCAGTGCCCCTGCATCTGCAGTCACCTGATGGAAGCTGTGTGTGTGTGTGTGTGTGTTTTCCTGGGCGTGCTGTGTGTGTGTGTGTGTGTGTGCCTGCTTATGCTTGTGTGTGCAGACGCGTGTGCCTCAGTGTGTGTCATTGTGTTTTGAGTCCTGGGGGGCAAGTCATCCTGGGCACGTGGCTAGTGTGGGTTGCATGTGGGTGCATGCATGGATGCACTCTTCTGTTTCTGTGTGGTGAGTGGCTTGCACCCGAGGGTTCCTGGAGGAGCTGCGTGGGTGCTCTTACTGTTGTGCTTGTGTGCATTCCGCGTGAGCACATGCCTGTGAGCTCCTGCGTGCAGGTGTGTGTCCTCAGGTATGTGCCCCGAGTCCAGCTCTCAGAAAAGAGATTAACCTTAGCCCCATACACCTGCTCTGGCAGCCAGGACTCCCCAGCCCCCACAGGTCCTACGCGCAGGACTGCTCAGTGTTTCCGTCTCCCAGGTGAGCTGGCCTCGACTTTTCTCACACCTTTTTCTACTCATTCTCATCTTAAATTTCCTCAGATTGTGCCTGTGACAGTCCTCCCCCTCTGTGCCTGAGTCTCGCCTCCACTAGCTCATTGTTTTGCAGCTCCCTATCCCCTGGAGATGCTGGGGAAGCAAAGAGCTCCTGAGTCAATGTATTTTTGGTAAAGCTGCAGCTGGCGCTCCACAGAGAGACACCATGTACCCAAGCATGCGAAAGGTCCCAAGAAGTCCTGAAGTAAAGAAGCCCGGTTGCATTAGCTCAACACAGGATTTCCTGCAATTATTTGATGTCAGAACCTGATCTGAAATGATAACACCTTGATGGAATCAGGGTTCCTCCATGACACATGGGAAAGTCTACAGTGTGCAGTGGGAGGTGGCCCCACTGTGACAAGTGGCCTTCTTGCTGCTTCTCTGGCAATTGTGTGGGTGCTTCCCAATGTCTGGTCGCTTGGGGCTGTGCAGACAGGCTGAGCCCCTCGGGGTTGGGAGCCTTGTGGTTTGGGAAGCCCAAATGACTTGCTCTATCCCGGGCCTGCAGGGAGCCCATGCAGCAGGTCAGGAGCCCTTCTCCAAAGTCCCTGAGGCCTCACACTAGCTCCTACCCTCTCATGGGGCTGGGTGGCATGGCAGCTCCAGGCCAGTCAGGGCAGACACACCTGATGCATAGAGCTTTGAAGGAGCCTCATTCCAAGACCCTGAGCTGCAGGAGATTGAGCCATTTGAGTGACAACCCCACCCCACCCAGGCTAGAGATTCTGCCCCTAAGCCTTTGCCCTGCCAGACCAAGCACGCATTCCTACTTCAGCTTCTGCAGCCTTCTGGGGCTCAGACATCCAGAAGCCCCAGTAGGGGGTGGAGGTTGTGAGAATAGCAGGTGCTTTCCTGCAGGTTCCACTCCAGATCTGACCACTGCTTCTAGAGAATAAGGTAGTTAGGGGAGCTCTCTGCTTCCTCTTTTCCCATAACATTAAAGAAAAAATCTCTGAAATTATGCAAATAATGCACGAATACAGTCTCTTTGTACGATTCAAATCATACAAAAAGCAGAGTAACGGACGGACGTCTTTTACCCTCCTTACCACTCCTCACCCCCCACCCCTTGGGATCCCTTCTGGGGTGGGGATCCTAGAACTAACATGTTAACAGTCCTTCCATTTCCACGTTTACAGATGTATAAAACAAACAAACAACAACAACAACAAAAAAAAAACACAAGCAAAACCGTATCCTGTGTATTTATTTCTGAGGCTTGCTTTTTTAAAAAGA